TCTCCAGCATCATTTCTATCACCAAGGCCATATTTTCCAACTACTGATCCTTCTTCTTTGTTCCCAACCTTTGCATTCCAATCACTAGTAATGACCAATACATCTTGATTGCATGTTTGATCAATTTCAGATTGAAGACGCTGGTAGAATTCTTCTATTTCATCCTCATTGGCTTTAGTGGTTGGTGTGTAAATTTGAATAATGGTGGTATTAACTGGGCTAACCTGTAGGTGCATGGATATTATTCTAACACAGACAGAGTTGTACCTCATGACTGATCTGGATATGTTCTTCTTAACAACGAATATAACACCATTCCTCTTCAATTTGTCATTCCCGGCATAGTAAACCTTGTGGTTGTCAGATTCAAAATGACCAATACCAGTTCATTTCAGCTCACTGATGCCTAAGATATCAGTGCTTATGCATTCCATATAATTTTTTACAATTTCCAGTTTTCCTAGATTCATACTTCGTACATTCCAGGTTCTGATTTTCAATGGATGTTTACAGTTCTTTCTCTTCATTTTGAGTTGTGCCCCATCAGCAAATGAAGGTCCCATGGACTTTACTCCCACAGGCTTTACTCCATTCCCATTATCATGGTCAACTCTACTTTGAAGAGGCAGCTCTTCCCCAGTTGAGTTTTCAATGTCTTCCAACCTGAGGGGCTCATTTTTGGCACTCTATCTGACAGTGTTTCTCTGCTATTCATAAGATTTTCAGTGACTAAATATTTGGAAGGAGTTTGTCACTCTTTCTTCCTAGTCTTTGTCTGGAAGCTCATCTGAAACCTGTCCACCACGGGTGACCCTGCTGGCATTTAAAATACCTGTGGCATAGCTTACCGTATCACAGTAACTCACAAGCCACCACAGTACGACAAACGGACAGTTGAGTAGTGATGCACTGAACCTCTGGTTGAACTGACTGCACCACAGCCTGGGGATCCAGTCGAGGGGGGAGCAAAAGGGGTGCTCGGGAGCAGCCCCCTGCTCACTCCTCTAGAGGCACAGAGGGCGGGAGCCCTGGTGATTGATTTTCTTGCTGCCCACTAGTGGAGGTTTGGATCAGGATTTGTCCCTAGTGTCTAAGACTTTGATAAGAAATTTATAGAAACTGATGCTTATCCACAAATCTTGATAGAACAATTAAGCTTTTTGATGGCAAGCTTCAAAACTGCAAAGATGATGAACAGTGAAAGAAAATTGAAACTCTCAGACAACAAATAGCATGGTAAAATCAATTAAACACTGCATTGCATTGCTGCAGATAGCTATGCAGATTGTTTAGAGGAATCTTATTTGTGGTGTTTGTCATTTGGAGTGCTGAGTATGTGGTTGTTGTTGTGAAGTGCTGTCGAGTGGGTTCCTTTACAGTGTTTCCAAGATGCAGCTGGTGAGCTTGAACCTATGACTTTGAGATTCAAACCAACTTTGCAGTCCAGTGCATTAACCCACAGCGCCACACACCAGTATGTGGTAGTGTTAATCATAAGTGCTTATTGATTTGGAAGTGTGGTCTTGTTTTAAAGCAATCCAAGTTAATGGCTGCGCTAATTGTCCCACCTTATTGCAAAGACGTTCTACCATTTAACTCTAAGGAATGTATAAACATAAAGAAGTGCCAGCCTTGCCAAGTGAATGTAAGTTTCAGACTAAAGACCACACACCTAATATTCACACCTAAAGGAAGAACAGTCAGTAAATTGAACCTTTATTATAACCTGTATGAGTGCTGATTTTCTTAGGTGTTAATCTCTGGGCTGCAATTAACTTTGCTTCCTAGGTGGTCTTGAATATTGCTAGCTCCCAGCAATGTGTAAAGATCTCAGTTGAACTGACCCTAGCTAAACCTTTTATTAAGTTAGTTGCCCTAGAAGAGAGAAAAATAATTCATCAGAGCTTTAAAAATAGAGAGAGAAAATAATATTGTTAATACGCTTTCTCTTATTTGGTCCACTGAAACTGAGTAAGTTAAAAGGATAGGATTTATGATGAACCTAGTGAATCGGTGGATTGAGCATTGGGCTGCTAACTACAAGGTTAACAATTCCAATCCACCAGCCTCTCCTTGGGAGATAGATGAGGCTGTCTGCTCCTGTAAAGACTTAGAGTGTCAGAAACTCTTTATAGGCTTGCTATGAGTTGGCATAAACTGAATGGCAGCGGGTTTGGTTTGGTTTTGTGCTAACCAAAAGGTTGTATGTTCGAGTTCACCCAGAAGCATCTCGGAAGAAAGGACTGGTGATCTGCTTCCACATTATCAGTTATTGAAAACCCTATGGAGCATAGTTCTAGTCCCATTCATGAGACTCCCCAGGAGTCCTAATCAATGCATCTGGTACTATGTTAGTTCTGAAAGCAGTCTGGTAGAGGAAGGAATGAATCCATAGGAGTGGTCAGCAGACACTGGTCTAGAAACCTCAGTTCTAGATCTGGATGCCAGGTGCTGGACATAGTTTAACTGCCATCTGTGTGACTTTAGACTTAGAAAATTTGTCATCAAGTCAATTCTGACTCATGGCGTCCCTATGAGTGTCACAATAGAGCTGGCCACCATAGGGATTTCAATGGCTGATGGCCTTAAAGTAGACACCAGGCCTTCTGAGGCAGCTCTGGGTAGACTTGACCCGCTAACCTTTCGGTCAACAGCCAAGCACATAAGTCATTTGCACCCCTGACAGATCACTTCATTTTTCCTTCTCCCCCTCCACCATCCCCCTTCTCCTGAGCTTCAGTTTCCTTCAGGAAATCAAATGGGTTGGATTAGTAGGTTTTCAAACCTTGCTCCATGTGCCAAAGTGCACTTTTCTAAACCGTTTCCTGACACAATCTTCACAGTTCTTTCTATGATTAGAAATTGGACTTGGTTCAGAAATAAGAGACTGTGGTGTTTTTGTTTCACCTGCATGCAGCGGAAAGCTACAAGGAAACACAGATGGTGAAGATTAAGGAGGAACCCATGGAGCTTGACATCCAGGACACGCATGTCTCGATATCATCCAGCCGGAATGTTGGCTATAGCACTTTAATCGGGCGGGAGAAGACCGAGCCCCTTCCGAAGATGCCCGAGGGCCGAGTACCCCCAGAGAGAAACCTCTTCAGTCAGGATATATCTGTGAAGATGGCTTCTGAGCTTCTCTTTCAACTGTCAGGTAAGTTTGTGTTCAGAACAGAATGCAATAATTGGAAGCAATTGGAAAGAAAGCCATTCTAACAAAGTAAAACAAACCAACAACACACTGCATTATAGGATTTTTCAAAAAACAGAAATCAGTTTTGTTATTTTAAAATGTATACTGTCACCCAAATTAACAGTTCAGAAAGCATGCCAATAGTGTCTCTGCCAAACTTTCTTTAATAAATAGTTAAGGATCATTTAAAATTAGAACTCTATTCAATTCTGTGCAAATGATCCCTGTTGAATGGGCTAAACATCTCACCTCTAATTTTGTTTAAATAGTTGATCTGATTAACAGCCTTTTTTTTTTTTTTTTTAATGTGCAAAAGATAAACTTCAATTTACTCCAACAGTGAGTGAATTACCATGAATTCCAAATTAGTTGTGATATGAATTAATGAGATTTTACTATAACTTGCCAGGAAAAAAGAAAGGAAAAAGCAAAAGTCTATATGGAGATTCTTTCCAGCTATAGTCTACTAGAATGTTTTCTGTGATCCCATGTTTTCTTCTTGGAATACTTGGAATTTGAAAGCTCAGTAATTACCAGCTAAGTGTTTTAATAGAAAAGTCAAGGGCCCTAGTACCAAAGCTATTTCCTTTTGTTAACTCTTTCAAACCATTTACTGGTATCCTTCACACTGTTCATATGCTGCCATTATTTGAACTTCATTGAGACTGATGATCCAGCCCCACACAAAGGGGATTCATAAAATTCGTGGACAAATGTAATGAAAAGATAATGGAATTTTTCCATGAACTTTTTGAAGCCCCCTTGTATATGATTCTATTGTAGACACATTTTTGTCCTTCTTGTTAAGTACTGTTGAGTTGGTTCCGACTCATAGCAACCTTGTATAGGGTTTCCAGGAGTCCAAGTGTGGTGCTGCAGGATAATGTGCTGGACCACAAGGTCAGTTTGAGCCATGAGTATAGGGTTTCTGAGGAGCAGCTGGTGAGTTTGAACCACCGCCCTTGCAGTCCAGTGTTTATCCCACAGTGCCACATTGGGACTCCTGGTGTGGCACTGTGGGCTAATGCGCTGGACTGCAAAGTTGATTTGAACCACAAAGCTGACTGTTCGAGCTCACCACTGCTCTTTGGAAGCTCTATACTGGGTCGCTATGGGTCAGAACCGACTCTACGGCACTTAACAAC